ATGAATTAACTCACTGAAACTGAGCTTCTGTTCACTGATACAAGCAAACCAATATAACATTGTTTGGCGCATGCCAGAAGGATAAACATGAAAATAGAAAAATGAAAATCATTTACCTCTCTCTGAATCCAGGGAAGCATGAAGAAACAGAAAGAGCAAGTTAGAAAGCACTCAAGTAGACAGAGCTCCAGCATATGATGAGACAGGGCAGCTGAAAAGTGCTGTACATTTAACGTTCCTTGTTTGTTTGTAGCACAGTGCATCTAAGCATACTGCCACTATTTCCTTTTTGCACTTTTCTTTGTTGAATCTTGTTGCTCTGAAGTTTGTATTTTTGGAAACATGCAATGAAGCCAACAGGCATCAGCTGAATTCAGGGAGGCAGTGCAGACATATCAACAGTGGGAGGTAATAAAGCTTAAAATACCACACACAAGTCCGGGAAGTAGTATGTAGAAAGCATAAATAGACATAGAAAGTGCATGAACCTCCCTTCTTCTAACTATTTACAGCAGACAGACAAAAGAAACAAGAATAATTCTTCAAGGCTGTGAAAACCTTGTGTTTTATAAACTGAAAGAGTAGAAAGATTATTGTCAGGTTTTTTTAATGTGTTTTCCAAAAGTTCATGCTCCCTTGCATCCACCACAGCTCGTTGCTTTCTAGGTCACACCAGCTCAACAGGGTGAGTTCACAGGGAGATGTGCACATCTGGAACTGTCCTGTGAAGACAGCACACAGTTCCCCATGATGCTACCGAAAGAGTTAGCTATGCTGGGGAAGGACATGGGTTACAGCCTGCTTCTGCCCACCTCTCCTTAAATACTGGACACCACTGTGCAATGCATAGAGTTTCTAAGGCATAATAACCATTCTCCAGAAGAGAGCTGCTCTCCCAGCCCTGCCTCCATCTCAAAAATCCCCTTTTTTAACAAGGGCCTTTCTCCAGTGAGCATCTGAGCAAGGTTCATGCATTGTGCACAGAAATGTGGGATCCTACATCATCCCAGCTTGTAACAGAGTAAAACAAAGCAGTGGAGTGGAAAAATCATCCCGTGTCAAGTAATAAGGACAGGACTGAAGACAGCACACTGAAGGGAAGGGATCCAATTCCCATTAGCCATCTCATGACACCAAGCTTGCAAAGCTTACAGGGATTGATCAGTTGCTTAGAAATGACTTAGTGAATAGGTCTGGAATAAACACAGGTTTTCTAAGTCCTGGACTCCAAACTGGCCACAGTTGCTCCTGAAGTGTCTCCTATCACAATGGCCATGAAAACACAACAATGTGATGGAAAACAAATTACACCATAAAACCCAAGATATTTTGTTCTTGTTGGCTTCTCCAACAAGGTATTTCAGGATCAAGGTGATGCTACCATGCTTGGCTAATGTTTTAGAGTGGCACTGTACTGGAGATGAGCCTGGAAGAGTGTTAGGAGTTCACTCCCCTGCACCTGGCAGAGTTAAGTCTACAGCCCAACAATTTTTGTGACTGACACATTTAGCTAATGGTGTGAAGGCACTTAACATTTCACAGTAGTCTGTGCTGTAGTCTGGCTGACTGCAGCTTCCTCAGCTGTCTTCTTTGAGCAGATCAGAAAAAGTAAAGCTCCATGTGGTACCTATACCCTAAGCAAGTACAGAGATTTGCCCTTCAAACTCCATGGTTCTTCAACCTTTTCATGTGGGACTATATCCACCAGCAGCAGCCCTGACCATCTCTCTTCCTAAGAGGTAACAACTAGGTGAAATGTCATTGCTTACAATTACTGTAGAGTTTTAGTGGAGTAAAACACATTTTACTTGATTAAAAATAATGATGCATGACATGAGCCTTTCATCTTTATTTACAGTTATAAGTATTTGCCTGAGCATATCCTCTGAGGCACAGAAGAGGCCCTGCTCTGGTTCTCTAATTTGTAATTACAAAGTCTAGCAGCACTTAATGCAGCAAAATGTTTATGCAAAATGTATTTACACCTCAACAAGGTAACATGAACAAATAAAGGAAACAGCCTTCATGCCTGTGCATTTGGAAGTCTCCCTGTTACTTACAGAATTATATCCTTTTGTATGCCATGAGAGAAATATAGCTTCTTTCAATGAAAGGAAAATAGCTGTGGTTTGTAATTTTCTATGAGTTTTTTATGGTTTTTTACCTTTCTGTTTGTTTGTTTTTAAAGTAGTGCTTAAGCTTTCTGTCTTCCAACAAGTATTCAAGTATCAGACTATTCCAGCAGACCTTGAATTTTGGGGTCCCTGCCACCACCAGAATGGGGACTGAGTAGAAGTACAATTCATGCTTTCTGCAGGAATCCCCTATTCACTGTGGGCCAGACTGTGCCATCAATTTTTAAACAATTCTCCAAAGTAGAATTCTGCTTAAAAATTGATAGCTTGATCTAGCCTTCTGTTGCTAAACATATATAATGAAGACTACTATAATCTAGTCAAATTCTATTTTTAAAATAAAAAGAAAATATGAGTCAGCCTAACATGCTATGCAAATCCACATTTTGTAAAGACTAAATTGTAGTCTTAAATGCAGAAACTCTGAATCAGTAAACCCCACTGATAAGTCTGGGTCCCAAACATCACACTGGTATCTGACAGGCAAGCTAGTTCCTTGTTATTCCTCAAGTCCTCTCCATAAATAAGCAATCTCAGGTCACTTCACCATTCCTTCAGGGTTTCCCTCATCTGCACACACTCAGGGACTGACGACCTGAGAGTAAGGAGTGGGTGCACTTAGAGGCCCCTGATGCACATGGTCATCCCAGGTACCTCTTCTCCTGATATAAACCAGAGGCATCTTTCATGATCCACTGCAAACCATTAGAAAATTCTCATTAGAAAATGCTGCATTTGGCTTGTTAGGGAAAACAAACACACTTCTGGAAGCATGAAAAGAACATTGAAGAGCAGGCCACCTTTCCCCCAAATCACTAGACTACCAGTTCAGATAGATCAGCTGGATATAAAATTTCCTGGTTTAAGTTTTACAACAATTATTGAATTCAGCCATAGAAGTTTTTCCGATTTGGAAATGTCTTAAAACATATAGGAAAAGTTTTAATATCACATCAACATCAAAATACTATCAAAAAATCCCACATGACATTGTTTCCCTTGGCAGATACCAAATCAAATTCAGGAAGATGCCAGTTATTTTCTAATAGGAGGAAATGAAACTCAACACTTCCTACTGAGACTTGATATTCTCTGATTTAGGATTGTTAAATTTCAGATTTTGACCTGTGTTAACTTCACCCAGAGAATAAGGTTATCCTGGCCTATCTCAAACTACACTGAAGCAAAATCTGCACTCTAATTCAAATTACAGCTACACAGAGCACTTGAATCAATACTAGCACTCTTATCAATTAGGTCAGAACTTTATCCCCAGTCACAGAGTTTTACTTCATGCCACGAAACACAGGAAACTCCAAGTGATGAACCAGAAAGCCTTGCCAAAGAGGATACCAACACACTGTAAAAATACAAGAAATACCACAGACCTTCAATGCACACCTTAATTACCTAAAATACTAATTCAAATGGTTTGCTTGATCTCCATCTGTATTGCATCTGATCAATGTTTAAACCCTATCTATGAAGAAATTTTATTTATATACACATATTTCATGTAAAAGGGAACACTAACCTACACTTTAAAAAAAATCTAACTGGTATTACATAATATAACTCCATTCTCTCTCTTTCTCTCTTTTAACTCCTTATGAAATAGGCCACTTCTTACTGAGAAATGCTCCAGGGCTAAATATTCTTTTCCTCACTCACAAGATGTTATAATTACATTAACCACAAGGCAACAGCTACAAAACCAAAATTAAAGCTATAGTTTTAAGAGATGAAACAGTTCATGTACTTCCTTCATAGCCTCAGCAATGTATGCTATCCTTTAAGAAAGCAAAAATTACTGCACAGAACAGGGAGAGCAATGAGGTTCCCCAACATGCAAGAACCCTAAGAGTGAAGATGCTGAATTTAAAGAAAAAGATAAATGTGCTTGTCTTTCTTCATTCCTCTCTGCACCCAGCATAATAAGGATTCAAAGCTATATATCAATTGGCAAATCAATGAAATTTCTCCAGCTGCAAATTCTTTATGAATTCAGATAGGATTAAGCAAGCAGATACCGCAAGGCAATATATTACATTTAAAGCATGAAGTTTCCTCTTACTGTCAAAAGAGCTATTAACCATTTCACTTCAATGCAATATATTGTTCTATGGATGTATCCACACATACAGTGCAATACTTCTGTCATTAAACACGTTCACCTCTTTTGGAGAACTACACAGGTTGCACAATCTCCACTGTCAATTACAGGCTGAAAGAAGTAAGCCCAGACTGACTAGCTAGAAGTTAGCAGAGAATTACACATAAATAATTATACAGGCACCGTCTGTTGGGAGGAAAACATAGAAAGGTTTCTTCTCCAGCAAATGAGGTTTCTGCTGTTCTTAACTACAGCACCCTTTGTATCAATTAACACTGCATTACCAGCAAAAACAAATTCTGATCACCCTCTACAGAATCAGGCTGGTCGATAGCAGCCAGTAACCGCAGCTGGTTTAGGAACATGTAATTCTGAGCTGAACACAGTGCCCCAAACCTATTAATCATCAGGATCCATTAGTTAGCTTACTGCTCAAAGGAACAACATCTGAAGGGATAAAGGAGGGAGAACAGCATCAAATACTCACCACTCAGCACACAGTCCAGCGTTTCTGCTACAGTGCTCTCTTGAAGGTTGTTAAGTGTCAGCTCTTGGAGAAAGGAAATCTCACTTGCCTTTGTCACACTAGGAGCTGTAATTTGCCTTGCAGGCAGCCACACAGGAGCTTTAGATTAACAGACCATAGCTTTGAACAAACAGCTCGAGACAAAGGCTACTCCTAATGTGAGAATGTTGTATGGAGGGGGAAGGCTGAGGGGGTTTTTTTTCTTGACACTTTTTAAGTTTCTTACCTTTTTGTTGCCGCAAAGAGGAATTAAATGCCAAGCACGTCATACACAAAAACCCAACTCAACGCCTTGACCGGTCCTGTCTCCGTTAGCATCTCTCTAGGCATCAGAGGATGCACAGTGCACTCGATGCAGCCGCACACTTGTACTTCAACGACGGGGGCAGAACACCCCTGAGAACAGCAGCTCATTCATTTTGCATCGAGTTGAAGCACATCATGCCAGTTCCCACTCTCCTCTCGGACTGTGCACGCCTGTGTTTGCTCCAGCTGGAGCTCCGCTCCATCAGGGGTGTGTCTTCTTCTCCTCCTTCCCATCCCTTCTACCACTCGCTGCTCCCCATGCTCTGACCCGCAGAGAGGCTCCTCTCCTCCCCCTGCCACGAATCTTCACTGCTACACATTGTGTTTCTAGCCCGTAAACTTCCGAGATTAATCTTTTGTGACAGAAGCAATCTTTCGGGGGAAGCTGAAGTGCACAGGGAGTCTTCCCCCCCTCCCAGTTTTCCAAAACCTCTGCAAAGCATTCACAACGCGGCTCTGTTCTCAATGCAACAGAGAAAGAATCTTTAAAAGGCAGCAAAGACCTACAGCTAAATCCAAAAATTCAGCCAGAAGTACAACTGCATTTACTTTGATGAAATTACATCGGCTTATGCTGGAAGTGAGATTTATCCTCGAGCTGTAAAAACAAACACACCAAATAATTTGATTTTCCAGAACTGGCACATGCAATAACAGTAAATCCAATTTAGAGGTGTTGCTTGCACTAAAGGTGACAGTAAACACAATGGTCCCAGAGCTCCAGGTTTTATCTGGAAAAACTCCCCATCAAATGTACTCAACCACCAATAAAGAGCTACTTCTGCAGGGACTGCACTTAGGACATGGTGGGGCTTAAACCCCATCCCAGGGCACACAGCTTTCACAGCCACCTGCAGCACCAAACATCACTCCTGGACACATGGGAAGGCTGGGGGAAGACAAACTCTGACCAAGGAGCAATCACAGTGTCACAAGGACATGGGTCACCACCTTGCTTCTCCATCCAAGCGACCTGCTCCTTCAAAAGTGCCAGCAGAGCTGCCTGTGATCACATCTGCCCTCCTCAAGGAAAACAGGCCAACGTGGCAAATGCCCACCAGCCAGTCTCTTTAAATTATTTGAGCTCAATGTGAGTGAAAGCAGAGCAGGGAACGTGACCAGGGATATTTCCAGAAGCAGAACTGAGGGGGTGAAAAGCAGTTAAGGACAATTTTCTGGCAGTCACTTCTTTCAGCTACACAGATGCATCAGAAGTAGGATGTTTGTTCATTGCCTTAATACACCCTGGGACTCTAGTGAGATTCCTTCATTCTTTCCTTACCTCCTTTGTATCATCAACAAAGTTTGGCAGCACCACTTATGCTCAAGCAACAACCTGTGCCACCCCAAAAGTTTTCCACTGACTCCTATAGGAGTAACAGGCAGGAATAATAAACAAATCTGTTATGTTGCCTAAGATAAAACAGTTCCAGCTCTTCCCTGGGTGTGCTGAATGCCTAGAGCTAACAAGAATTAAAGGCCATGTAATAATTTTTCCACTGTACGAGTAACTTCTCAAAAGTCATGACACATGTGCAATTCACTTATGGGGAAAGAAAGGGGCATGTTTATGGACAAGTAAAGTGGCACCTGAAACTGGTTAAATGCAGTAAAATATACATGCATTACATTTTTAATCCAAGTTCCAATAAGCATTCAACATAACTTGTTTAAATTTGCAAATGAAGACAGAATTAATCTGATAACTATGACAACAACCCTCTCCACTGCTGTTCCCCTCTTTTACTCTCAGCAAATAGCATACAACAGGATATGGTAGCCTTCCAGCTGGCCAAACAACAGCACTCGTGAGAACAATGACAAACTCCTACTTAAAAGGCTTCTGAGAAGAGAAGCAAGACTTTGCCATTTTAATATGCTGGAACAGTTTGTGGGAGAGAACTGCTCTTCCCTGATCCTCTCTTCAGCACAAGAAAAAGAGACTTGGCATAACTTTGGAAACCTCTAAAAAAAAAGCATAATTAAAACTACATTCCAGTCTCAAAGCTTTTAGCTGGCTATCCAGCACGTGAACTGGGACTAAATTCTAATCCTGTGTTGGTTTTGATATTTTGTTACATGTTACATACTTAGTGCCTGTGCCACTAATGACATGGCTAGGTACAAACACGTTGGCTCTGGTGTTGAGAAATAGCTTGTCCCGGTTTCAGCATTTCAGCTTCCCTTGCCCCACACCCTCTGCACCTCCAAATTTGTTGCTTCTATTTGCTATCTATTAAAAGGGCAACAGATTTACCTTTGCCACCAGCAGGAAGAAAATATCCAAGGGCTTAGACTGCAGGAAGTTTCTGAAAATGAAAAACAATTTGGGCCAAATGTCTTCCCATTTGTGCACACACAATCTACTCAGTAACTACAACTCTGCCTTGTGTTTGTCGTTCTGGCAAAGCTTAGCTTTACCAATCCTCAATCCCACCTAAAAATGTGAATGCAAACAACTCGAACATGAATTTAAAATTTCAGGTATAAGCTTTGGGGGTGGTGGTGTCTGATTTCTGATTAGTTCAAGTCTACTTGGACAAACACCTGTATTCTGAAAATGAAAGGCAAAACTCACACAGAAGTCTTTTTTCATGAACTGTGTTGTAAAAAATAGTCATAAATGAGCTTTGAGACAAACCATGGAAGTTGCAGCACTCAGCACTGGCTGCAGAGTTTGGCTGACAGACTCTCCCCAGCAATAACAGCTACCATAAACATTGTGAAAAAATTTCCAATGTAAACACTGCACGGAGCCCCATTCCCAACGCCAGCCAGAGCTGTGATCTCGTGGCCAAATCCCTAGGCAGGAAGGATCCTCGTCCTGCAATTTACCTACAGGCTGCAAAAGAAATGAGCTTGCAGCAGGGAATGGGCCAAATCTACGCTGACAAAAACATCACAAGCAGCCAGCCCTGGCAAGGTGAAAACTGCCCAGGAGAACTCTCAGCAGATGAACACAACAAATTCAACACCTGCACTACCAAAAGTGCCAAATCAAGGCAGCAGGGGTGTTTCTGGGGCATGCCTGGTGTACAAATACAACCTGTGTTGTTCCAGCCTCTCCCAGATATCATGTGCTGCCTGCTCATGGGTCCCCAGCTGAGTTCTAAGTCCCCAAGCTGCTGTGTTCCTGACTGGGGATGAGGTTCAGCCAAGCTCATAATGAGGAAATGGGTATTTAAGACTGTAAAGAATCCAGGCAGATCTCCACACACTCAGCAGCAATGACATGCCCAATTCTCTGGTTAAACTGCCAATGAACAGCAGGGCAGCTGAGTAAATGAAATTAGCTTATACTCTAGACACAGGGGTGGGATCATGTTCTCCCCAAACTGATCAAATATTCCTACTGCGTGGCCAGAAGCTGTTTACCTCAGAGTGAAACACCAAGTATCCCATCACACACAGCCTGGGTAATACCAGCAGAGCTAGGGCTGGTCTGAAGACACAAAAACACTACCAGCAGCTGAGATCCTCACACTCACCCTGGGCACGTGCAAGGATTGGATCCCAGGGCTTCACACACACACACACACAATTTTCAGGAAAAGAGAAAACGAGTTTATGAGTACAGAACTTGGATACAGGTTGCAGTTTGTTTCACTTTGAACAGAAGGAAAATGATATAGCAACACGCTCCTGTTGTGAGGCAAAGAACTTATTTTGGTGTGTGCAAACGTACTCAGCCCTAGCAGCTGCTCTCACACTGCTGGCTCACAACTGTAGGCTTGGAGCCTTACACTGGAGATAAAAGCAGAAGCAGGTTTGCATCCCAGCTCCTGGAGCACTCAAAGCTCCACTCCTGCCCTACAGGAAGAGAAGCAAGTGTTTCCTAAGCTAGCCCTGCTTTTTACTATTCTGAGGCACCCATCCTATCCCTGAAGCAAAACTTTTTGACACTTCCAGCAAAACTCAGATTTTATTTAGTCTTTAACAACCTAGAAGCTTAAAACCTCCCATCATTGTGAGGTTTAGTCTTTAACAACCCAGAAGCTTAAAACCTCCCATCATTGTGATCATCTACTTTTCGGCACAAATTACCAAGCAGCAGCAGTGCCAAACTTCTAGCTTATCTCAAATTTCCTATTATTTTCAAAAAGAAAAAAAGGTAAGAGGCAAGGGAGGAAGCATTTCATAAAGTTTAAATCCTGGACTCAGACAGGTATCTGAGAATCTCCATACATACCACAAAACAAGTTTTCAACATCCATGGATAGATGAAGAAAGTTTGAAATATTACCTTGAATCCTAAAGACTCCAAAGTGACAAAATGAATGTATCATTTAGGAATGCCTGGGTTGGCACTATTCCAGAAGGGCTTTGTTTGTTTTGTTTTCCACACTAAAGCCCTTGAAGCCATGTATGTACTTCATAAATAGAGGGCAAGAACAACTGCTCAGTTTGCTTTGTCTCATTCAGCTCATTATGCTCCTGATGGTAGCTGAGCAAGACAAGAGATGAAAAGCAATTTTCCTAAAAAAAACACCTAAGTGTTCCCCATAAAGAAAAAAAAATAAAGAATCTTCCTTAGTGCATCTGTTTTCTTGTGGGTGTGGGTACTTTTAATCTTAAATGTTTACCTACATTGTTGGAGATACACATGTAAAGTTTATTTAGATTCTTCAGACAATGCAAAAAGGAACAACAGGCAGAAAATAAACTTAACCAATGAAGAAAGACTGACAATATACAACTAAAGGCAAAAGCAGTTCAATACACCTTTAGCAAACTGAACTACACTACACCTGTTGCCAAAAGAAAGACCTTAACTGCTCTGAGATTGTCCACAATTGCAGAGGACAGGTCACAAGGAGCTGAGTGGACCCTTCTGCTCTGAGCTACTGAAAAATAATTCTTTAAGTCATCTACAGTTCCTCTTTCTGCATCTTGTTGACAAATACAGCATCACTGCAAACACTGCATGTGTCAGTAGCAGGTATGCAGGAACACAGGCAAGCTCACTTCCACAGGTTCTTGTCTGAAGTGGAAAAACTCACTACATTGGCATTCAGCATAGGATTGGCAGAATACCAGGCCAAATACTGAGGTCAGCCACCTTGCAGACCTCTAACTCTCTCACACCCTTCTAAGATTCACAGTAGGCTCCTTGCTTTTCCATGTGCTATTTTGTTCTTGTACAAGAACTCTGCTAAGCAAGTATCATTTACACCATCCTGATGCTCCCAGGG